CCCTTGGCAGCATGCACAGTCAATGCTCCCCTTTTAACATCACTCAAACCCCCCTCCCTGCCTCAGGGTGTGAAAGGTGTAAGTACGCCCCTGATAGTAGTAGTTCTGACAAGACTGCGTTGTATTTCAGAGGTGTCACGATGCATCATGGCATAAACATTGGTAATACACAAACAATGAGCGAGTCAGGAAGCACAGTAGTACAGATTTTGTAAATGAATACACAGTTAAACACTTGTGTTAATAAGTGCTCTTAAACAATTTGAGTTCCGGGACCTTTTCCTCCCCAATACCACCCCCGTCTCCCCCTACCAATCCCCTCCCACCCCTGGTACATTGCAGCACATGCAGGAAAAAAACATCTGTTTGCGCAAATTGTTAGCATAATATTAGGATAAGAGCAAGTTGACATTGCAAGGGATACAAATTAGCATGACTGAAACATTTTCACGTTTGTATCTGCTTAAATTCTGAATGGCGGTGTTCTCGCTTATGTGAACAATTAATGCTTATGCAGTAAACACTGATCGATCAGCTCCTGTGCTTTCTGTTGAACCGCGATTGTCAATGACAGCTGGCAATTCCAGCACTGAAGCTATCTGGGACTTGCAGGAGCCACTGAGTCCAGATGTCTTTTTAAAACTGCATAGGAATGAAAAGCCAATTTACTAGAGACTATTACTTTGCATGCGTAATGGAGTTACTAGGCTCCAGTCTTCAGCATCTGATAGATATTAGGAGTGCACACCTCACTGTGCATGTGCAGCAGGTAGTGTTCATTTAAAAAAAATGAGGCTAGAGGCTAGTAAAAAGGGAATAGAGTTTTTTCAGCAGAAGAGACATACAAAGTGTCTTCTACCACAAAATAGTCCTCCTATCAATGTTCATTCAGTTCAGTTCTGCTTTAATAATCAGTACAAACCAGTTTAATTGCTTTCCTGCGCAGCTCCCATTCATTCCACTCATATGATCTGACAATGTTGGTCTCCATGAAGTGTGTATCAGTTTGCGTGCCGCTGTTACATTTGGTGATCGGTTTCATCAATAGTTTTTCAGTAGCTTGAGCCTGGTGTAAAATAAGCATTAGCATTAGAAAGCAGACATCCCTAAACATTTATAATTATAAATATTAGTCTGTGTCACTGCTACACAGCAAATCAGGCTTACTGAAGTACCCTCCAGCAGATAACTCTAGTAATTTGCATAAAAAAAGCTTGGAGGGATGGTAATGAAGCAATGTTAAATATCTGTACAATGCCTGCCCACACTACCTGCAACATTTGATTTTGATATGTCCTATGGAATTTTCTGTATTTGCTCAATCTGCATGATTTTTCAGAAAGTCACAAATGGTATACAGCACTCCCTGTTCATTTATTTCACTATTACCTGAGTTAGGCTATTCTGTAATTTATGATCATTTTAGAGTTAAAGTAAGCTCTAACGCTTCAGTTTGGCACTTTAACAAAGCTTTCATTCCCCAGTACCAGCAGCCAAACTGAGCAGAGTTTCAGTGACTCAGGAAAGATGAGTACATCCCAGATAGCAAGAAATTGTACTGCAAGTTTGAAAATGACTTGCTAAACTCTTGCAGACTTGCCAAGCTTCACAATTTTGTTGCACAATTACAGCAAGTCTGTATTGCAAGTCTCCAGGCCAGCGAGCTTGCAGAGCTCTTGCTAAGACCTGCAGGACTCTTGCTGTAGACTTGCCAGGCAAATTTGCTACAAATTCAAAAAGTGTCAACTAGAAGTTGTGCTGCAAGTGTTCTGCAAGTCTACAACTTGCCAGGAATATGTGCAGCAAGTTAACAAAATTACAATTTAGCCCCGACACAAGTTTGTGGCAAGTTATCCTTGCTATCTGGGATGGTGCCAGATTTGTAAGTAAACTAAATGACCCTTTTACTTTGCTTTGCATGGCCAAAGAAAAGGTTCATTTTAAACATTTAAAGTTTTAAATTCCTCGTTTTCAAGTTGGTCCCCGCAGAGCTCTTCCCCCCACCCCCTGCACAGATGCCTCCATTGGTGATGTATTGCCTCCATGTATTGGTGATGCTACATAGAGCGATATAGTGCGGAAATATGAGCGATATCGCTGCAAAAATCGCGCGATAAATCGCTCAATGTGAACGGGGCCTTAGTGAGAGTTACTGTTCTTCAAAAGGTCACAGGCAGGGCCGGCCTTAGGGGTGTGCGAGCCGTGCGGCCGCACAGGGCACCATGGCAACAAGGGCGCCGTGCATCACAGGAACAGGGAGATGAACTGTATTACACTGATTTTAGACTGTTACATATAACCCAATCACATCTCATAACACATATGAATCAGATGTCATAAAACATGCCAGATTGCTAGTATAATGCCCTAAAGTATATACAGTAACGTCTTTGAGTATCTGTGTAAACCCGTACTATAAAAAATTGTATTTGCTCTGCTAGTGGTAGCAATAGTTTTTTTTTTTACCTGGGCATAGGGGGTGATGGATGCAAACTGCTGATGCAGCTCTAATAACTGTATGAGCTCTGCAGACTGTTTTGCTTTCTCTCCAATCAAACTGATATAATGATCAGGATCTTGGGCAAACATGGAGGAAGCTTCCTTGGAGCTGAAAATATAATACTTTTCTCTGTGCTTCAAAATGCCAATGTTTGAGCTTCCTGTTAAAAAAAGAAATCTGTAAGATTGATAGAAACGAATATTCAACAAGAATAGCAGAGTGTTGAAATGCATCATGAAAGTGGATTTGTTTTAGGAATATATGGAGAATATATGGAACATTTACAGCTAGTGGTTCTAGAAGCTAGATTTTCAGCTGAGCCCCCAAGTTATGCCAAGGCTGGGAAGAGAAATCTCTACCAAAGTCCTAGAGGGCAGTGAAGACCCAACAGGTGAATAAACCCGGTCATGCTTCACCCAAAATTAGAAATCTGTTTTGTTTGAAATTACTCTTTACGTTTTCATCCAATCTATTATGGTGACTTATGATGTTGTTTTAATAACAGTATTTTATTGCGCTTCTTGCATCAAGCACTTAAAGCATTGTAGAGAAAATGATAAAAGTAAAATATTAAAAAGAAAAAGGCTTGAAAAAAAACAAGTGAATCTTTAGGGCATGTTGCCCAGTAATGGAGTTTCTCATACTGAAATTGTGAGTTTTGTGTTGATGGGACTGAGCATATTGCCACCTACAGACTTCAGATGGTCACCAGTCATGCATGGATGATCTAGCTAACTGACTGTTCCTTCATACGAAACTGTGTACTACAGACATGCACATTCACATGTATGTGCTTGTATATATGGAGGAGGGAGAGGAAGCACTCAGTAGACATGTCTGGTGCTAGCCTATTTTGGAGGAAACTAATAAGTATAGGTCACACAAATCCAACCTGGCTTATCAACTCTATCCCTTGAGAAGGCTCAGTTATGGCATATCTAGCAAGGTTGGGGGTTTCATACAGAAAAATGATTCTTTCCCAGTTTATCCATACCCAGCTTGACTGGGCGAATTAATGAACGTCTGTACACCTTAATAATTTTGCCCCATTAAACACAGTGTTTATTCATAGTGTATATTGTTAATCTGTAACTACCGAATGTCCAGTTTATTTACATTAAAACAGGTCACACCTGGTAACAAGAGGCCATCTTTTGTAGCAACAGTATACCCGCAAAATCCACGGTACTGAATTGGGAGGCGTTCATAATTAGCTGTGTTTTCTGGGAAATACCACTCCTGTGTTGGAAAATCTGATGGCTTTATATGAGTCCCTAAGTAAAAAAATAAACCAATTTCATTAATAACTGAAGTAAATGGTGAAATTAAAACAAGAATGTTAAATTGTCATGTACAGTCATGTGAAAAAGAACAAAAAACGGTTGCAAGCACTGCCCTGTGCGCTGACCAAAGAAGTTACTTCAGACCATATGTAAAAAAGGATATTAATATTTTTATTGAAGATATTTAAACTAAACATAGGAAAATATTGCACCATCTCCCAAAACCACTTTAAAAATTGGCAACGTTGTCATTTCATTCATGTGCAAAACATTAATTCCCAAAGGGGTTAACCCTGAGTCCACCATCTGGGGTATGTATAATATCTCTATGGATTAATCTGCCCATCAAACATTTGTTTACAGTCATGTGAAAAACTAGGTACACCCCATGTAAACATGTAAATCGTTGACTTTTTTTCAACTTATCTGAACAGGCAACATTAGATTTTCATTGAAACAGATAAAAGTGATATACTTGAAAAAAAATTGCCTTTTCATTTATTTATGCAACAACAATATTAACAGATGTAATGGTGTGCTGTGTAAAATAAAGTAAACCCTTGGCCTCAGAAGCTGGTATTGCCCCCTTTAGCACAAATTTATTCTTGCAGACCTTTTGCATACCTGCCCACTGGTCTCTGACATCAACTCGATGAGATCTCTAACCACTGCTCAATACAAAATGTCATCAGTTGCAAGCATGATTTAGTTTATGAGCTGCCCATTTTAAATCCTCCCTACAACATTTTAATGAGATTCAAATCAGGGCTTTGACCAGGTCAATCCGTAACCCTCTATTTATTTTGCCTGAGCCATTCCTTGGTGGATTTGTTAGTGTGCTTTGGATCATTATCATGGTTAAAGATCAATTTCTGGTACAGCCTAAATTTTTGGACAGATGACCTCATCAAGCACACCAGATATCTACCAATCTATATTGCACAGTTATTACAAAGAATTTTCCACCTTTCCATTGATTTGGTGTGCTATATACTTGGGATCTTCACCAATTCTTATTAAAAGCGGCCTTGCATTGTGCCAGTCCAGATTCTACAGCACTCCTCGCAGGCAAAAGTAGGGACAATTCATTTTTCTACTTCTGAATAAATAGCATATCAGGCACTCTGTACTCTGCAGGTTAGTGAAGAACTAACAGGTCCTCTTTAATTTGCTAACATTAATTTCCATTCATATTTTTAGCTATTCATTTTTTAAGACTGCTAGTGAGTTTAAGATTTCTAACTCAAACAAGGAAAATATAACAGTACACCTTAGTGTACAGTACACCTAATAATGAGATTTACGTTATATCATCTAGTTGCATTTAAAGAAAGATGGAACCTGACTTATTTCTTACCTTCACTTTCTTTATTCCTTTCCTCGTCAGTTTTTATTGTTAAATCAATTAATAGTGGCTGGATGAAGTGATCAGGGAAAAGCTCTTCATGGAGTCCTAGAAAGGGCTGCAGGTTTGAACTCATATTGCTAAGAACGCTTAATAGCACAATTTCATCCTGGAAGCTGTTCCACAGGTTAGATAGTGACATGAAGAGTGGCTGAAAAAAAGACAGATATAACCTATATAGCCAGAGAGTTTATAAATAATTTAGTCTTGTTCTCTACCATACATTACACAGAATAGGACTAGAGTTATACTAGGCTATAGACCAATACATTATAACTAAACAGCTTCATGAGACCAGTTATCGGTTCTAATTTCATCATACAATTTCACAGATTTAGTAAGTCTGGACATTTTTTTAAAGTAGGATGAATTAAAGCGACCATTACATTTTATTACCTATGTTAATGTGTCAGTAAAATGGGTAGATATCAGTTTATTTAAATCACATCTGTCCAGTCTTGTCCATTTATGGCGGAGCCTTAGGCAAGTTCAGCACAGAACAGATGCAGATTGCTCACATTCTGTGCATTATGTCTAGTTATCATTGTAGGAAAGTTATTATAGGTAAATCCACACACTTCAAATGTCACACTCTGACCTCTCTAAGACTAGACCATTCCATTGCAATAATCTGGCTGTGGAGGGTTTAAAAGCAAATAATAACAAGTGCAAATAACCATCAAAAATAATTTTTGGCCCCTTTTACTCAGGCACCATCCGTTCCATTCAGCAGGGGATCCATGCACAGATCCGGTGCTGATTGGAGCAGTATGGAATGGATGTCAGTCTTATGATATCTGTGTCAGTTCCGTTTTTTTCCTCCACCTTGCAATGGAGGAAAAAACGGAGATGTATTGATCTATGTTGGTCTTTGGGCAGTTAGGTGTCAGCAGACATGTGTCTGTTTACATCAGACTACCTCTGATCAGCTATAATCAGGTCCACTAAAATTGAACTCTGTTTCATTTTTTTTCCAGACCTAGACTGGGTCAAGGGTAATCAGATGTAAACGGACGCACATCCATTTAGAACTGGCTGCCCATAGACTAATACTGGGCTTCTGATTAGATCCACCTGGAAAACTGACATTTAGACCTGATTGGACCACCAGTCTGAAAGAGGCCTATGGCTGTTCCCTGGGATTATACCTAAAAAGGGATATCTGTAATCTGCAAACCCACTGAAAAAGGAAAATTCCCTTATCTTTGCATGGGTTTCCCCCAGGTTCTCAAGTTTCTTCTCACAATCCAAACTCATGACTGAAGGTATTTATTTATGTTTACTTCCTCCCAAAACGATTGACTTAGTGAAATTAGATGTTTTATAACAGTGTAACAATCTATGAACTCTCTGAAGTGATGTGTAATCTGTTTGTGCTATATAAATAATGGAAATATCCTTTAAATGTAAGCAGATTTAGTGACAGGTTCAGGGGTGTAGCAACCTGACAAGGAAAGGTAGCGCCTCTTTAATAATTAATGCCATATCTGCCTGACTATGGCAAATCCAAGGTTGAAAGCACTGCATAATGTCTGTCTAGTATGTGTACTAGCTCTTTAAAATAAAGCTATTGTTTGTTTTTTTTTGGTCTCCTCTTGAGTAAATGAATGTCTGCCATCTTACAATAAGCTGTTTCTATGAAGGGATGAAGGAAGATTCCACAGTGCAATATTGTAATCTCTAAAGTGCATTATAACATAGACATCAACACATTTTTGATGTTGTATTTTGTTTAGAATTAGGTTATTGAAATGATTCATATAGATATGCAGCTGGTAAAAAAAATACAATGTATTAATAAATAGACGGATATGACAGCTGTCATTACTTACATAGACCTGTGCTGTGGGAACTGCAGTCTTTGACCGGACTGTATCTCCTAATTGTTCCATTTGTGCCCAGTACTGCTTATCAATCAAATCAACTTGTTGGGCACATGTGATGATATCTGACTAAACAAATAAAATAAACACACATCACTGTCTCATTTTAATGGTCTGGCATAATAACTGACCATAGACTAGTGTAATTATATGGTTATATGATTACAATGCAGTTCACTCCAAAAATCTGTGCAAAGTACAGTCATCCACAGAAACCAACAGAAATCCATATTTCTCTACTGCGAAAACAGTAAACTAAAATCAAATTGTCTTCTATGGGCTACTGTACTTCACACACTATTAGAACTATGCTTTTGGAAAATAGATTTGTTTTCTAGACAACACCGAGAACTGAAAAAGTTTAACTTGGGTACAAAACAACCAGCAAGGATATTGCTTGACAGCCAAAAGCAGGTCTAATCCTACCAAGTCAAAAAAACTTGCCTAGGCTGAGATGATGTCATCAGTCTGCTGCAGACAGAAGGAAACATTTCCTCAGTCTCCTCTTCCCCAGTCAGGCCCCTTTAAGTTGGGTGCCTTCAGTTCTAATCCACAGAGGATCCATGCATGGATTCTCTGCTGATCTTAACAGATGTCACAATGGTGCGTTGCGATAGAGGAAAAAGCTGAAATTACCAGACCTGTGTTGGTCTATGGGGAATCGGATGTAAACGGACATGTGTCAGTTTACATCAGATTACCTCCCTTCCGGCGTGGTCAGGTCATGGAAACAGAACTCAAAACCATTTGTTTTTCCAGACCTGGATGAAGCCGGGGGAACCGGATGTAAACGGACGCATCCCTTTAGATCTAGCCCATAGACTAACATCGGGCTTTCGATGGACCTGATCGGAATGCCCATGTCAAAGGGGCCTTATCAGGCTGTAGAATTTTGTAACTTTGTAGCAAATCATAAAAGTGAGAGGCTTCAGCTGGGGAGTAATCTACATTAAAGGAGAACTATGAGGTGGGTGCTTTTCACTCACCACATAGTTCTAGCCGACCTGTGACAATGAGACTGTCACAGGTCGGCTTAGTAGATCGGGAGGTGAGCGAACACATACCGGCGTTCGCTCACCTCTCGATCCTGTCACGGCTCTCTGCCGTGACAGGGGAGGGGCTGGATTCCCCCCGCTCCGATCCGCCAGCGCTGACTGGCGGAACGGACGGGGCGGGTACAGCTGGCTCTGCCTCTAGATAGACAGAGCCAACTGTCAGTCACGCAGCTGGGCGCATCCAGACATAATTGTCGGGATCCGCTTCAGCTGCGGCGTCTCAGTATACCGCGAGCTACAGCTCGCGGTATACTGAGCCTAGGGTGACGGGAGGACGCTAGTTTGTGTCCTCCCATTACCCTAGGCTGGGTTCACACCTAGGCGTATTGAATATGCGCGCTTGTCTTCGCGTCGCGCGTTTCCGTGGGCTACTTGGCTGTATCCCAATGGAAACGCGAGACCAAAACGCCCCAAAGAAGTACATGTATCGCGTTTTGTATCGCGTTCGGACGGGCGGAAATACGGCAAGGTGTGAACCAGACCCATTGAATACAATGGGAATTAGATGTTTGAGCGTTTTGTAGAGCGTTTGTCGAGCGTTGAACGCGCTACAAAACGTTCAGGTGTGCACCAGGCCTCAGGAGAACTATGGGGAAAAGCCTTAACCCCATAGTTCTCCTTTAAGCATTTGTGAACACAGCCAATTACTATTTCAGATTTTACATGACTGTGTCATATCTGAGCCAGCATTCATTCTAGGAAGTAGATAATGATCCTGAATAATGCCTAAAACAAGGATGGCACAGTCCTTCTGGAAAGAAAAGCAGATGAAGGCATTGTTAGGAAGAGTACTGCAATCTTTGTGAGCACTTAACATGACAAAATGTAATGTAAGCTATATCCATTTTAATCAAAATATTTAGGACAACTTTTAATAGAAACCGCACACTAAACCACATACGGCACTCACCAAAATAATATTTAAAAAGGCCTCATGCTGTCTTGCATTGTAAAGTGCTTCTTTCATCTGGCTTAAATTGAGAAGATTGTTTTTGGCCTGTTTTTCATGCATCTCTTCTAAGATAGCTGTGTATTTGTATATCATCTCCCGAGATGACAGGAGCTCTGAATCAATGTGCTTTGTGGTAGCTGGTATTGCCTCCTTTAGAACAGTGGGCACTATCAAGGCAAAGTGTCTGTTTATTTTCAGTTTTAGTGGAAAGCATGAACAATAAAACTAACAATTTATTAAGAAAAGTACAAGCAGTCATACTCTGATCAGTACATTGGAAGCCCAGACTATGAATAACCTGCTAAAACCAGGTACAACATAAATGTACCAAAAAACAATGGAACAAAATAGTAGAAAGGTATCTGAAAACAAAATAACAATTGGTCAACTGTTTATTGCAAAGAGGATAACTACAGCTTTGCTAAATGTGGATCTGACATCTATGTTATTTTAGTTTCTACCACTTCTGTTTAAATACAGCAGGTTATTTATTTTTCTTCTAGACCGTGGACATTGTAAGCGACAGCTCAGAGTTTTCAATGTCCTCTAATATAGGAAAGAAAACACATCCAATGGTTATATTTAAAATATATATTTATGCTGGTTCTAAAAGGAGTAGTGTGGAAGATCTGAAGATGTCTTTTAGATATGGTAGGTGCATCTGTTAATAGGTGAATTCCAGTTAATAACATTTTCCCATATTTCAATTAACTTTGTTTCGTTTGTGGGAGCAGCTTTCACCTAACTCATTTTAAAAAGGAAATAAAGCTTTTGTAAAAATAACTTGAATAAGGTGGAAGTAGCTACAGTGGCTGTCCATATACCTATTATGCTAAGCTTAACTAGGACAAATCCCCAAAATTATTGCAAAAGAGTGAAGAAGAAATCTTTGTAGTCAGTTTTCCATAATCTTTTTATCTTATTGCTATTAAGGATCATATACAGGTATATAAAATGTTATTTCAACTAGCAAAGAGATTAAAATGGAAACAAATGTGGAAAAACAAGGATCACTTTGCAGAAGATCTGCAAAGAGAAAATTCAACGTAGGGTATGCATTCTCAAAAACAACCATGGAAAAATTATCACCACAGATGGAAATGAGATCAAGCAAAGATGAAAAAAGTATTTGCTGAAAACCTTTATACCAAAAACATTAACTGTAACACTTTTTTCTAGACCAGCTACACAAAAAAAACCCTTCAGTGATGAAAGATGAAGATTGGCACCAGGGGCGTAACTAGAAATCCCAGAGCCCCATAACAAAATTTTGTAAGGCCACCCCTTCCTCCACCGCAACGAAACCCCGCCCCCATTTTAATAGAAATACGCTGATCAGCACATTTTTGAGCGTTTTTAATTGTGTTTCAGCACTGAAACGCGACTAAAAACAGCCAAAAATGCTCTTTCAAAAATCGCGCGGAAACCACGAGGAAACGCGTCCACCCTGGTTTGAATGGCGCCTGAATGAGGCCTAACACTTTACTTTAATACTGCCACACCAATGAGAGGCTGAGGAAAGGAGATTATAAAAAAAAATGAAGGAGCGCTAAACTGTAGATAAGCGATTTATGTTATAAATGGTTTTTGCGCTGTGTTGGTGTTTGTGTTGTGGTAAAATGATACAGGCGTATATTTAATTACAACACGCGGTATCACAACGCACAGCAATGCGTCACAAAGCTTTGCCATGCGCTGCCACAGTTAAATTAATGTTTTTTTTACAAAAGAAACAAATCATGCACTGCGATGCATTCTAACAACGCACTGCAGTGGCGTACACCACAATACGGTGCACGTGTATGTTATATGTGTGTGTGTGTGGGGGGGTTGTGCTTTTTTTTATTTAAACATTTTTATTTGATTTTTTAATTATTATTATTTTACTGTTGGGGGGGCTTTGGGGAAATATTAGGGGTCTAAACAGACCCCTGACATTTCCCTTTTGAAATAGAAAAAGACATTGAGGACACAGAGTCCTCAATGGTTTTTTCTGCAGCCTCAGCACTCAGTGAATGGTAAGTACTCAGTACAGAGGCTTCCCATTTATTCAGAAACTGCTGATAGTAAGATATTTACTATCAAGCAGATTCTCAATGGGGAAAAGCCTGTGTACTGAGTGCTTCTCCCCATTGAGAAATTCATGAATGAACAGGAGGTGATGAAAAATCACCTCCTGTTCATTCATAACTGGGGACACGTATGTGTCCCCAGTTATTTACAAACACTGGAGTGTTACAAACCCTGATATTACCAGCAAAATTATATTACAGACTATTAAAAGCAGACTAGAACCTTATAAAGAAACGTAAAAAAACAGAGGGGGATGGAACTTTAGCTAAATATCAAGAAAACTAAGGTTATGACAACAGGAAAGACGGCTAACTTAAAAGTTGATGGTGAAGACATAGAAATAGTTGGCAGCTTCTGTCTCTTTGGATCAATTAACAAGAAATGATCCAGCAGTCAAAAAATACAATGCATGTGGGCACTTGGAAGAATGAAAGACCTTCAAAAGTACTGTTGTGTCTATAATTACAAACATCAGAATTGTCCACAGCATGGTATTTTATGTCGTTCGCTATGGTTGAGCAAGCTAGACAATGAAAAAGCAAGACAAAAAAAAAGTATTGATGCCCTTGGACTTTGGTGTAGGCAAGACATTCTAAGAATACCAGGATAGCAAGGAAAACAAATAGATTCTTCAACAAAAGCAAGCTTTTTATTTGAAGCCAAGATGATTAGGCTTAAGTTGTGTCATTTTGGACATATAATGGGAGGGTACCAACTTGCTAGAAAGACAGTTATGCTTGGAAAAGCTGAAGGAAAAAGAAGCACAGCCAGCAATAAGGTGGATGGATACAGTCAAACAAATTATGAACACGCTGTTGCGAAGATTTAACCATGTGGTCATCAGGATTTGACATTGACTTGATGGCACTTAATAATAACAATAATAAATTATTATTATTTCACAGAATCAGTTAAATAAATGGTACATTCTAAGGATTGGCTTAATTGTTACACCTCTTGTTATGATAGGCGGAGACTACATTTTCTTTATTCCAATAGATTTTTAATGTTAGGCTATTGATAACTAAAATACCTACATTTCATTATGGCTGTGTGGTATCACAGAACATTTATAGTACACAACGACTCCTAAATACTTACGATCATCGATACCCTCGCCCCCTTTTCCACAGTTTTTGTTAAACAAACGGATGCCAGTGACTATCATAGTGAGTTCCTTCAGTTGTCGCTCTTTATCCTTCTTTACTAAAGACAAAAAAGTTCCCAGTTCTGTCTGTGGAAAGACGCTCTGAAGAGCAGCTAAGAAAACAAAGGAATTCAGATCACAAATAAGCATACATTGGGCATGACAGTTTTCCATTGACATTGTCATTATTAGTCAAAACAGCAGAACTGACATGACACTCAAGAACTGACATGACACAAATATGTTTCCATAAAGCCCCCATACAGTTACAAAATATAAATGACACCGGATTTATAATGACTATGCATTTTGATCCCTCCTGTTCCACCATATTATCAGCACAAATATCAAATATGGGGTCCCAGCATCACAATGGGTACATCTGCATTGTAGCTTTCAATTAACTTGATCATGTATTTTTTATTGCACTGACCTGTGGCTTCTCTAACAACTTTGATATCAGTCGGGGAGCCGAGGCCAGATCTAAGGAGCACATAGCTAACAATTTTGCGATATAGACTTTCCAACTCCTCAGATGTACGAGCTCGGCTGTCAGTGATCTCCCTGCTCACAGATGCAAGTCTAGATTCCAGGACACGATGGTGCTCATCTAAAAACTCTCCTGTAAAATACAAAGTGTCAGATTGTTTTTAAATAACATAATAAAAGACAACAGAGCAAAATATAGGGGTCTATTCACTAAGCTGCCGTAGGCAGCCGAGTGAATGACCAACCTGAAGTGAAGTGAGCCGAACACTGTTCGGCTATTCACTTCAGGCTGGTACGGCTAATTTCAACCATATATCGGCTGAAATCAGCTGTACATCGGCTTGCTTCGCGTGGCTTCGGGTCGGCCGAACATGCTCAGCATGTTCGGCCGACCCGAAGTGCAGAAGGAGTTCGACTCAGCTGATCCAACATCTGGATCGGCTGAGCCGAACCTACGGCAGGCTACTCACTGCTGTTCGGGCTATTCTGAAAGATGCTGTTCTGCTCGGTCCCTCAGAGGTACGAGCAGAACAGAAAAAGAGTGAAAAAAGTTAAAAAAAGTAAATAGAAAACGATTGTGCGGAGCTAGCAGTGACAGCTAGCTCCGCCCAATAGTTTCCTATTGTCCGACGGCTCTGCTGCTGTCAAAAAAAAAAAAACTCTCCCAGGCGCTCTGGGAGCCTCCCGGCCAGATCCTTCGGCAGCTTCTTGAATAGACTCCATAGTCACTTCAGTCACACTGGATTAACATTATATATACGGTATTTATATGTTGTAGGTAAGATCTTTCAGTGGAGATCTACCACTTATATCATGGCATATCTCTTTTGGCATATCTCTTTTATACAAATTGATCTGTAACACATTTTTTTTAATTAAAGGAAATCTATCAGGATAGAAACAAAGGAGCTGCCACTGTAAGTTGTGCTGGCCTATTGGGAAATGATTGTAATGTTATCAGTTCTTTCTATACTATAAGATATGGATTAAAACTTTGCATGGTTACCATACAAAATATGTCTGTTTGATAACAACCCTCCATTTTGTGTTTACGTGGTTTTTTCCAACACTCAGACTGTACTTTTATCTGTAACTTCTAAGTGTTTTTAATATACAGTTTGAGCCTTTTTTTTTTTGCATCTCAACACAGATCGTCTCTGCCAGCCTCTTTCAGCTGCTTCTTATCTATATTCACTTGCTCCAGAGGCAGCTGCACATCATTACTCTGGACTGGCTTTCTGCTGGTGACAACAGTGGACCATGCCTGTAGTCTCCACCAGGGTGACAACACAGGAGACAATTGTTACCCAATACCAGGAATTGGCTAGAGAAGGACCTTCATGACAGTATCACCCAAAAATGTTTTTATTGAAAACCTAAAAACAACTTTTTAAATTACAGTATCATATTAAATGATCTTAGAATGTTGGACTATATTGCAAACAACATTATACAGCTCTATGTTCCATGGTTTGTGTATTATAATTTAATACTAAATATTTTTTATTTTTTTTAACTATAAATGAATTAAAACTATTTCTGATAATTTCGGAAATGGAAATTCGGGTTCGTTTGCATTCATTATGTCTGTCATTCGGAATTCGGATACATCTGAATGTCCGAATTTCCGAAAATTCGTCCGAATTTCGATTCGGAACGAAACGGATCGCAAATGTCTAGTTTTTAGTAAAGCTGCCAAACTACAGGGAAAGTACATTTTAATATTTACCTCTACTTGTATAATTCATGTCAAAATACACTTGCATCTTTATTGTTTCCAGGGAAGGACTTCTTGTGTCAAGCAATCTGTCCACACAAAGCTAAAATAAAACAGAAAGATAACTAATACGTCTTTGTGGCAAACATAATTTAATTCAGACTTGTCTTATAAACACATTTAAAGGTTTATTCAACTCAAAATTAGACTCTGGTGCGTTGGACCTTGTCATGTTCTTTTCATGTTTCTCAAGGAACAAAAAGGAACGATCTACATGCCAATGTTTTCAGACCCACTATTCTGCTGCCACCAGTTTTCACTCTTCAGGCTGTATTCGTATTGTAAACTTAACTGAATACAAAACTTTTAAGGGGCACTGCACCCCTCTTTTTAATTTACTGAGCAACGTTTGCAGACCATAATAGGCTACTTTCTACATTATGGTGACCTAAAGTGATTTTACAGTATATGCGAATACAGTTCAATGCTGTTAAATTGTCCCCCCTGTTATTCCTAGCAGGCCAAATGCCTAAAGAGCCAGGGAGTACTTGTGGGAACTTTTCCAAAGCCTTTGCCAAATGTATAACAATTCCCTGCATCCACTGCCATGATGTCACTTTTGTTTCTGAAGTACTTGGCAATTTGTAGCTATTCTTCATATGACTGAATGGCTATGTAGAGGGGCAATTCAAACAGTGAACCAACTGCTGAGAACACAAGAGATGTCATGCCAAGTTTCAAAGTGATATAACCCCTGTTGGTGCTGTGCACTACCAAACAGGTCAGGAACACTATGGGGAACATCCATCAATTCAGTGTCCACCAATTCAGAATCATACTTCAGATCTTACACTGAAGCCTAGCGAATATTTTTTATATACTAGCACCCTGCAGAAGACAAAATTAGTTGATGGTATAATGGCACTTAAAAGACAAGGTTCTAGCAATCACTACACTGTGCATGTAAAAAAGTCCAACGCGATTTCTGTTGTCAGCCATTTTACTTTACTCCGACTCTTATAACTCATTCCAGTGAGAGAAGCAAGACGTCTGTGGTTAGGTAATAAAAAGGAGCATGATCAATGAAAACAGGCTGAAAGAACCTAGGGAAACCCGTACATTGTGATTAATTATCTAACCAGTACTAGAAAATGTTTACCTGTGCTACTATAGGCAAATACACAGAGCAAATCACAATGGGGGTAGACACGGGTATATATTCTTTGTTCAACCTGAGGGCTGAACAAAGAAAATGACTTACTTGAGTGTGGATGGAAGAATCCCTCTGTCAGAATACCCGAAAAAGCTTGCAGCTGATTGGCCAAGAATTTTCCAACCTGCTCCTTCGATCAGCTGATTGCGGGACGGAAAGGTGCCGGCAGGGGCACTCACTGTGCGAATTTCGTCCAGTTCATTAAGAACTGGCTGAAATTCTCACCATGTATAGCCTATAGGGAATAGTTATTTGTTGCCCAGTGCTACCTGTCATAATATTTGTTTATTTTCACATCAAAACTGCAAAAACATTTTGAAGCTTTCTTAGAAGAAACCTTTTATACACCAGATTCATGTTTTAAAATTATGTGTTGGGGCACCTCTGGTGAGTGCCAACTGTCCACTAGGATGAACATATTTTCACTGGCAGACAGTCATAACTCCAGTGACATTATCAGTCACTACCAAGAACAGCGAGACTCAGCTTTATTTTTTATTTATTTTTACATTTAACAGTTTTATATTTGTTTTTCACTGTCGTACAATCTAAACATTTAATACCATACATGATAAATGGCTTCCAGAGCATGTAGATTATTTAGGGTATGCAAAGAGACCGCACGGTATAGCAGCTTACTTTACAGCTCTGTTGTCTGACTCATTCCTAGTCTGAAAGGGGATGAGTCATTGTTTCAAACTTTGATAGCTCATTCCAGTTCTGGAAGAGAAGCTGGAAAGCAATCATGATGAAAAGGAACAAAGAGCTCCAACTGCTGGCTGGATAAAAAGCTACATAGAATAACAATATGTGATAAGTTTACCTGTCTAGAAACATTTTTCATTCTTTATTTTAGTCTTGAGCATGATAAAGAAAAAAAAATGCACAAAACCAAAATACATTCCTTTTAGGCCTCATTCACACTGCCGTATAATGGGCTACGCATAGGTGCGGGCAGCATATGCAAATAAATGGCTCCACACACACAGCTGCGTATAGAGCCGTATTTTTGCACTGCGTAAAGTTGCGCCAAAACAAAAATGAACCGAGATGCGTCCAGGCTCGGAATTTCTGCGTATTTTACGCGCGCACATATACGCGTATGTGCGCGCGTATGCATTTACAGTACATTACATTTTCTATGAAAAATTATGCATATACGCGCATAATCACATATGCGCACATAAATATGCACATAATGTAAAGGATGTCACCAGCACACCAAGCTGTTTTTGTTCGGCAAATGTCCATTTTACTGACAAACAAATTGAATGGCATTGTTTGTCATTAAAATGGACATTTGCAGAACAAAAATAGCTTGGTGTGCTGGTGACATCCTTTAAATTTTTCATATTATCTCACGGCGCCACCGTGGTCACTGCGAGCACCCATTTGTTTATTTTTTCCAAAAATCCGGTAAGGAGTGCAGCAAGATACATATATTTCTCTAAATATGCGCATATACACGACTATACGCATTTACAAATATGCATACAACTTTGCTCTTGCGTTGTGTGTGAATGAGGCCTTAACCTCCCTAGCGGTAATCCCGAGTCTGGCTCGGGGTGAACTTTCAATGCTAGGAGCGGTAACCACCAGGGAGGTTAACCAAGACATTAATATTTTTTGAACAAAAATAAATATTAGTGGTTTACTGGTTACCTTAATGAGCTTCTGTACATCATTCTTTGTGAGAATTCGGTCCACATTAAAGCCATTTCTTGAGTCTAATACTATAGCCTTTACCTAAACAATGTTAAAAGAAAATACACAAAACAATATCAAGTAAGTTAATGTATATCACCTTTCCAAACTCCATGGGCATATACAGAGGGTAACAGATAAGCACAGTATTAAACTAGGACCTTTCCAAACTCCATGGGCATATACAGAGGGTAACAGATAAGCACAGTATTAAACTAGGACCTTTCCAAACTCCATGGGCATATACAGAGGGTAACAGATAAGCACAGTATTAAACTAGGATAGCTAGATAGGATAGGGTGTCCAGGATAAGAGTCTAGCATGGATTATAGTGGTGGTGGTTGGGGGTAAACACACTTTTTCACATAGAGTCCTCAATCTTTTTTTCTGCAGCCCCTGTTATGCATGCACAGCAAGCCTCTACACTGAGTGCTCCTGTTCATTCATAAACTGTGGAGATAGTATGTTTACTATGTTCACAATCATGAATGAACAGGAAGTGATGTAGAGCACTTCTTTTTCATTCATAATTGTTGACACAGTAAACATACTGTGTCCTCAATTATTTACAAGCACTCAGCGATCAGCTGATCACTCACTGTTTGTAACCGCTCTCCAGCCTGACTGGCTGTCACAGAAGGCTAAACCGGCGTTGGGAGGGAAGGAGAGCTTGGTCTCCTTTGACAGTTGACTCCTCTCCCACACCACCGGCTCTGTCTCCTGTGACAGCTGACAGCTGTCTCCTCCCACACACCTCTCTCCTAGTTTGTCACAGGAGGCTGAGTAGGGCGGTGTGAGAGGAGAGCTCGGTGTCCTTTCACATGCCGCTCACAACGCTCCCTGCCTCTCTTGGCCTACTTTCTCTACTCCCCGCTGTTCTGTGTCAGAGGGGACACAGAGCAGCACCCAGCGAGGAGGAGAGAAACTAGAGATGCACCGCAATTTTGTCCGAAAGATGGTACTTTCTACATTTTGCCCAAAGCACCATTTTCAGCCGGTATGTTTCGGAGGCCAAAATTCCGGTGCATCCCTACTATAAACATAATGCAAGCACAGAAAATCTTAATGTGCCAAAAATATAGTATGCTGTCACCTTCCTTCTTGACATTACAACACAGCTCTGAATTCCTAAGCATGTGGTGTCAGCCCAGCCTACTTAATTTCTGATGGATTACAAAAAACACATATGTGTTCTTTGACCATATATATGCATTTCAACTGTGAAATTAGCTGTTTGCCTGGAGCTCAACATTAATTGTTTAAAATAATGTTTTTTAAAAATGATGATAAATTTTAAGTGATTACTGTGAAAACAATACACAGGCATAGCTGTAGAGGTCACTTACCACAAATGCTACTATGGTTTCAGATACCGTGTGCCCCTTTTCAGCACATTCTTGAGCAATTTCCCGTATAATATTTTTTATTACACTTTCAGCCTGAGTATGCGACATTCTGAGGAAAAAACAAATGTTTTACATTATTAGATCAGAGTCCAACAAAATACCATGGCCTATTACCATATTTCTGCTAGCTAGTAAGAACCAACCTGAAATCAGACTGCAAGCTGGTGAAGAAGAGCCAAACTGAAAAACACCAGAAAATGAACCGAACAGGGTTACCAACCCCCAAACAACTTCTTTTATTGACAAAAATTAGAAAATGTATTGCCGAAGCACATCTTTAATGGCAACCACAGAGACTCATATTACAACCTTATATAGTTAAACAGTATGAACAAGTATACTGCCTTGCTTTAAAGTTAAATAAAGTGACACTAAACTCAGGAGTTAAATCCTAAAAATGCATTCAAGCAACTTAAAGTATAATTAAAAGAGAACTATGGGGTAAGTGTTTCCCCCCATAGTTCTCTTGAGGCTCAGCTCGCAGTATACTGAGATCACCGCACCCGGGATGGATCCCGACATTACTGTCAAGATCCACTCAGCTGCGTGAGTGACAGCTGGCTCTGCCTATCTAGAGGCAGAACCAGCTGTCCCCGCCCCCTCCCCTTCCATTCCTCTACTCAGCACTAGAGGACCGGGGAGGGGGAATCCCTGCAGGGAGCCGTGAGTGACAGTCACTGCTCTCTGCAGGGAGATGATCGAGAAGTGAATGAGTGACAGTATGTGTTTGCTCACTTCCCGATCTATTGAGCCGGCGTGTGACAGTTTCATTGTCACACGTCGGCTCGAACTAGGAGGACGAGTGATAGTTCTCCTTTAAAGTCTCTCTTATTTGGGCATATACAGTATCTACTGCTAACAAACATTAGATACAGGTGAAACTCGAATAATTAGAATATCGTGCAAAGTTCATTTATTTTTACTAATGCAACTTAAAAGGTGAAACTAATATATGAGATAGACTCATTACATGCAAAGCAAGATAATTCAAGCCGTGATTTGTCATAATTGTGATGATTATGGCTTACAGCTCATGAAAACCCCAAGAACCCCAAATCCACAACCTCAAAAAAGTAGATTATTACATGCAATCAATAAAACAAGGATTGTATATAGAACAATATCGGACCTCTGAAAAGTACAATCATGCATATGTACTCAGTACTTGGTTTGGGCCCCTTTTGCAGCGCTTACTGCAATTACTTTTGCACGATATTCTAATTATTCGAGTTTCACATTTATATGCCACATGATTAAAAAAAATAAATACAAAATGAGGCAAATACCTAATTACTTACCTGGGTCAGCGCCGCTCGCTCCAGGCTGAAGCACTCCCGAACATCTGTGAAGAAGTGTACGGGCACATGCGCAGTAGAGGGGAAGGGAGAAAACACGCGTAAGCTCAATGGACGCAGCCAGGAGCGTGCACGTCGGACAGACTTTGGGACACAAGGAGTCTGCGGTGGATCAGAGACCAGCACCAGCGCTGGAGGCACTGTCAGAAACGAGTGGAATGAAGAAGATGATCGCAGCAAGAGGCATCTAAAAAGGTAAGTGCTTACAGCAGCAATAGGGGGATTTGCCTTTAATGCCTCTAACTATTAACAAAAATGTATCTTATTTGTGTATCACCCGGCTGTGGAAATCATCTCTGAATTGGTGCTGACACTGTCTTTCCTTCTGGAGGGTGGCTACTTTTGTTCTCCATGATCCCTGCGTGTGTGGTAAAGTAACCACCACTCCAAGCTCGTTCCCATGATGGACTATAATCTCATGTTTAGTTTACTCATTTGTATTGAGATTGTAGTCTAGCACAGGACTGAGCTAGGAGCGGTAGCTACTTTACAACACACATAGGGACCATGGGGAACAAAAGTAGCCACCCTCCAGAAGGAAGGACAGTGTCAGCACAAATTCAGGCTCCATTCACACAAGAGCGGTTGTCTGTGCTCTAAACATAAAAAAACAATGCACTTTAATGTGCATTGTTCACACTTTTGCGGCAGCGCGCTCCATAAAATAGTACAAGCACAATTTCAGGGGTGGATTTCGCACGTTCGCAGCTATAGTAATAGCCGCAAACGAGCAGAATCAGCGCAGTTGTAAAAATGTTAGCATTTGCGTGCCGTGCGGTCTTCCACGCAAACGCTATATGTGAATGGAGGCTTAGAGATTATTTGAGGATCTACAGCACAAATAAGTTATGACACACAAATGAAAATGTTGCACAAATAAGTCTCAATTTTTTTTAACATATATCTACTGCTAGCAAGGCAGTAGATAAATGCAAAAACATTTAAAAAAGAAAAAAGTTGTCAAATAGTGCTTAGAGCAGCAATGGTAGGAAAAAAACAAATGTTGACTTCACTTTAAGATTTAACTCCTGAGTTTAGTGTCCCTTTAAATCACATCAAAGCTGCAGCAAGCAGGATTTATCTAACGTGCCACATCGAAATGCTGAACGGTGACATGGCCCTTGTAGCTTTGTCTCAAACTATCTGCGTTTACAATATGTCATGCGAAATGAAAAAGAAAATTAATTCGTATAGTACTACGACACTGACCCTTTCACAGGCAAAATAAATCAGCTTATTTAAGATTTCATTATTGCATTTAAAATTCACACAGTACAGGTCAAATAGAGGCAGCAATTTATACTGGTCCTTATTGTACATTTCTATTCTACCAACAACCGCTGGGGGTGGCTTTTCTTTCTACAAACTCCGAGTAGCAGCACTAAAGTTATTATCCAGATAAAGAATAGCGATCTGCAGACTCATATTATTACGCTATACGGCATTAGCTATCCTGAGATACAAGGAATTCATACACATCTTACATACCTTGCAATGCTCAGAGAAACTCTCAGTGTATGGACTCAGCTTGTTTGCATGTTGCCATAGAAACGCTCCCGGGCTCAGCATCGACTGATCACGTGGTTTGAGGACCTTTACCGATGTCACGGTCATGTGGCCGTAGAGAGTCTCTGCAACTTGAGTGTCCTCTACACGCTGTATGTAATAGGCACGTTCAGGGTGTTGGCGGGAGGGAGCAGAAGGTGCTTGGGTACTTTATATATATAGCTATATATAGCTATCTATATATAGATATCTATATAGATGTACATCTATATCTATATAGATATTTATATATAAATATCTATATATACTTTAACAGCCCATTCATATGTAAATATCACAGTTGAGACTATTCTCAGTGGGGGGGGGGGGCAGTAGCCCCTATCTTCATTTCGGTTGCCCCTGCCTGCCTGACATCTTGTGTCCGGGTTTCTGCTGCCATGAAACCCGGACACAGCATTCCAAACCCGAACTGTTCGGGTGAATCCTGGACAGGTGGCAACCCTACCCCCTTCCCGGCCAGGCCATTTTTCAGTGATGCGGTACTTTGACTGACGTTTATTCAGTCATGCAACGCTGTACTGAAATACATTTTATACCATTTTTTTGGGACAGATAGAGCTTTTGTTTGGTGGTATGCAATCACAACTGGGTTTTTCATTTTTTACTATATTAAGGGGAAAAAATGTTGTTCGTTATGTTATAACACATTTATTATTACCCAATTTTAGGGTAAAATATAAAAGAAGGGGTCACGTCGGTTGAATAGACGCCAAGCATGTCGAAACTTACATTTGCGCGCACCCATTAAAATGGTCGTTTTTCATTTCAATTCAGCATGAAACGCAATAAAAAATGCCCAAAACCGCGCTAATTAGTGAGTTTCCATTGAAAGCTGTATGGAAACCGCACTAATCAGCGCGGCAAAAAGTGTCGGGGAGCAGTTCGGACGGGGGGCAGTTTGGATCGCACTGAGCCACGCAGTCGCATGAACGGTCCCCATAGCAATGTATGGAATCGCTCATGTCGGCGGACCAGCGTGGCCGAACCGCCCTGTCAACGGGGCCTTAATGGAGTGTGTGTCCAGTGGTGGATCGGGGGGGGGGGGAAGGCAACAGAGCAATTGCCCCCCACAAGAAAATTGATGCACCCTCCACCGCTCTTAGGGCCGCCATCAGTGGGATATGGCCGATACGGCATGGCAGAGGTGACAGGGGAGGAGGTGGAGAAAGCCGGGCCCCAGCAGCGGCCGGTAAGAGGAGCTGGGAAAAGGTGCAGGGAAAGGGACCCCGGCGACCAGCCCACCATAGACCCTGCAGAGCCCACCATAGAGAGTCTCGGTTGGGCTGTGCCGGATCTATGCCTGGCTCTGCAGGGTCACTCTCAGGTGGGCTGTGTGGGGTCTCAGCTATGTGTGGGGTCTACGGTGGGCTCTGCAGGATCTCAGGTGAGCTCTGCGGAGCCTCAGGTGGGTCATTGCAGTGAGGAGACGGACTCGGCGGCGTAGCCCGGAGGACGGAGCCAGCGAGGAGAGAGGTAAGTGCAGGGAGGAGGGGGGAGGCTGCAGACTGTTCATGGGTGTACGTCAAGGGGTTGAAGGCATTTCCCAAGCACGTTATTTAAAGGATTTCTATATTTTCCATGTTGCCCTCAAAGTGACAAGAATGTCCCCCGTGTCAGTGCCCGGCTGCCTATCCCTTTTTGTGACATTAGTTGACCTATTTGCCCCTAAAAATGCCCTAAATATACTAACAGGATTCATTTCTCATAGATTTCAAGCTGGATTTGCTAAACCTCGAACAAACTGAACCCATCATATTAATTAGGGATGTCCCGATACCGGCCGGCCGCCCGCCTGCCCCTTTAAATTTTTAAACTGCAGCTCCTGCTGAGTTTCCGCCCCAGTCTGCTGGGGACCTGGCAGTGCCTGTCCTGTTATATATCTCCTCCTTCCCGGCGCAGGCACAGTCATAGACAGCCCCACACAGCACAGTACAGCCCCGGAGACGGCACCCGCCTAATCAACTCTCCCCAGCATAGCCACTGCCCGCAGAGCCCTGCAGAGATCCACATGCCACCTGTGTGAGGTCACAGCCTGGTGAGATATATGGTGCTCTGGGGACATGTATTCTGCTCTGGTAAGATGTATTCTGCTCTGGGGACATGTATTTTGCTTTGGGGACATGTATT